AAATTTGGAGGTGCAAGCCTGAAAAGCCTGGCCCATTTGCTGGCAATTTGTTGACTTTTTCCATTCAAGTGTGCGCCTGCTGACTTGATGTATGGTGCACTCTTCATCTTGGCCATGGATCTGAGGCCCTGGGACACGTGGAGGTTGAATTCTGATGGAGTATGGTGAGCATCAGTGTGAGCGCTGCATATGAATTGGAAATGAAAAATAACATTAAATTTTGCAAGACCTGGGACTTGAACCCAGGTCTTTGATGTCATGCACCTAACACGTTACCACTGAGCCAGTTGTATTTCAATTAACATATAATAGTTAATAAATAATAAAAAGAATAATCAATGCATAGTGGTCAAACGCGCGCGAATTTGAACGAATCAATCACCAGCTGACACGTCTTCTTCTTCCTCGCGTGTCCTGAAACATAAAATACAACAGCAACGGTTTTGAAGCGTTGCATTAGGTAAGCTACAAAAAAATAGCGAATAGCTTGTTTCCTAATATAAATTAGGCGCGAGTATGTCTTCTTCTTCGTCCAGATGCATGGAGTGTGATGGTGTTGCTCTGAAGTTCTGATTTTTCTTATTTACAAAAGCCCCAATTTAAGAAGCTGGAAACCCTAGAACATAAAAATGGTAAAATCGTGTATGGCTTATGAAAATGCAATTAAATACCATGAACAGCTTGGAAATCTTGTGAGGAACATGAATATGTAATTAAAAATGCAAAAGGATGCGTAGAATCAAGAACACGAATTCAAAATTTTTCTGTACAGTTTCACTTGCAGACACCAGTTCAAGGAGCTTTGATTGAGGTTATGAATTGAAAATCGTTCAGAATTATCTCAGGAAGCTATTGGTACAAAAATTAAGGCTTGAAAAGATCCCTAGCTTTGAAATCAGATTTGCATTTTATGGTTCATTTTTCAAATTGCCAAATCACCTTTGAGCGAGCCTTTTGCTGCACTATGGTTAGGGTTTGACTCAATGCATCTCATGGAATGGAATTGGCTAGTTTTTTGACCTTAATCCATGCTTGAGAAAGAATTGGCCTTAGGGTTTCTTCCATTAACCATTTTTCCTATTTTCTAGCCAAAACCTAGACCTAGTGTGCAAATGAACCTTAGCCTGATTTTTGAGTTGGTTCATGATACATAGGAATTGTCCAAGTTCATTTGACACTATTTCATTGATTTTTAAATTTTATTTGAATTTTCAAAGAATTAAAATGAATTAAATCATCAAAAATTAAATAAAATAAAAAATCAATATTTGGTCTTGAAATCAACCATGGAACACGTGTGTAGCATGACAAGGATGAACAAAGTGAGAAAAATGGGGCCCTTTTGTCAAAATTGGATTTTCAAAGATAGTTGACTTTTGCCATTTCACAAAATTTTCCCAACTTCTACAAGGCATAACTTGCTCAATTTTTAAGCTTTTCACATGTTCTTGGACATTTTGGAAAGGTCTTTGAGTCCTTTAACCAATGCCTTTGGTCCTATGTCATTTTGATTTACCAATCTCAAGTTATGGTCTTTGACTTAAAGTCCCTTTTTGTTGACTTTTGAAAATGACCTGTAATGTTGAAATTGATAACTTTTTGTGAGAGCATTTCTTGGACTTGAAGTATGAAGATGAGTTGTAGGAAATGTCTTTCTCTTCAAAATGAGCTTTGGATGGAATTTTTCTGATAATCCATGTGAAAGTTATGCCCTGGTCAATTTCAGTTGACTTTTTCAGCTGTCCAAATATAGCAACTTTTGCATCTTTGATGATTTCTGAGCCAAACTTTGAGAATCATGATCAAGCATTGATCAAATGATGTTTGTGGCTTCAAAATGATATGTTGACCAAAAATTTGAACTTTTGACTGTCAAATGACCATTTTGCCCCTACAGTTGACTGTAGGGCAATCTAGGGTTTTGACTGTGCAATCTTGAGCTGAATGCCTTGAAACTTGATATGAGGATGCTTGACCATGTTTGTAAGCATATAAGACTTGATTGAGCCTTTGAAAACTTCCTTTTCTTGATCAAACTCAAAACCCTAATTTTGACTGTATGGGAGACTGTTGCACTGCACAACCCTTGGGGAATTTTGTGACTTGGCTTGGCAATTTCTTGAAGAATATGGGAGGGCAAATTTTGGGGTATAACAGGATTCAACGTATTTCAAGAAATTAGGATATTCGACACACAAGTTCCTAAAGTGTACCATATTCTCAATATACAATTCTTCTGTAGCAGAATTAAGAATATCAATCCACGCACTCATTAACTTCTCAACCACAACACCAGACTTGATCACTTGTCCGTCTTCACCCTTTTTCTCTTTGGTGCCAATCACGGATTTTAGCCGTGCTCCCATATTTTTTGTTATGTGATACCGAAAAATTAAAGCGGTTGACAAAGGAAACACAATGCCAACCGCATTCATAAGGGCGTTATCTCGGTCGATAACAATAACCATAAACATATTTTTTGATCTTTCAACAAAGTCTTGCAAATACCTAACGCCCAAGTGACATTGTCTTCCATCTCACTTTCTAAAAAATCAAATCCAATCGAAAATGTCTTGTCCGTAGAGGTGACACCAACAATTTCTAGAAGCGGAAGCCTATACTCGTCGGTCTTGTACGTTGAATCAATCATAAGAATGATTGGAAATGTGTTGAACAACTTGATATTTTCCGGATGCGTCCAAAAAATATCACGAATACTTACGTTGTCATCACAAACTATGTACATGGAAACGTATTGGTTATCGTTCAAACATTTCAATAAATGTTGCATTTTAGACCTCATACCTCTTTGAGCAATGTGTTGTTTATATCGATAATTATAAACTGACTTGATATTTGAGACACATTCCACTCTATTATGTTTCAAACCGACAAGTATGTTTCTCGGTGCAACTTTGATCAACAATAATTCGGAAATAAATTCCTTCTCTATCGACTTTAGTCGTCATACAATTGGATGTCCGCATAACTTGATGTCCAACGCATGATTATGTATTCCGGACATGACATTAAATCACCAATCATCCATCCTACAATAACCGCACAATTTGAACGTGTACACCCACATTTCCTTGATCCCGTGTCATCATGTTTTATCTTGTAAAATTTTGGAACATATTTTCCACTTTTCTCGTATGTCATCACAACAAATGGTTGCCGATGACTAGTCCCATTGTCGGACCTCTCAATCACAATGCCAAAACCAAGTTTGCTAGCTTCCATTCGTACCCAATCAAGCATATGTTGACGAGTGGTGAAAGTTTTTTCATTTGAAAATTATTGTTCATGATCTATCACAACATCAATCGTTTTATCAACGTCTTTCACCACATTCAGCTTATCGTCTACATTGACCTTGTCCGGAACCGAAACCTTTACAATAGCTTTGACAATGTTGTCGGGGTGCACCATACCTAAAATATTAAAAAAAAAACATGAATTCTGTTAAAACATAATTCTATTCCAGTAACAGACTTTATTTCGCAAGTGCACTTGCAAATTTTTACTGGTGGACTTAGCAAGTGCATTTGCGAAGTGACACTGTTTTCTTCTTCAGCAAAACAACTTCAATGCAACAAATGTATGATGAAGGGATGGAAGTTTACCTTAAATTGCAACTTTCAATGCTCACTTTATTAATCTCAAACACTTGAAACTTGATTTGGAGACGAAAATTTCAATGAGATTGAGTGAAGTTTGGGTTTTTTTTTGTTAGAGAAAAATAAAATGAATAAAATAGTATTAGAATAAGTGAACTATATAACATTCTAATATGGAAAGAGAAGTTTCACAAGTTCACTTGTGAATTCACCTTTCAATATGTTTTGCAAACACACATGCGAAATCCTCTCAATTTTGTAAATTCTAATATTTAAATAATAAAACGTACAAAATAGATTGGCTTGCAAGTACACATGCAAAAACATGGTTAAAGAAATGTATTTTTGACTTTTGAGTGGTGAAAATCACCGCTTGTAAAGTGTAAAGAGAAATTCCGATTATTTCTAAACGCAGGTCTTGTGAAAGTCGTTGGTGAAGGTGGTGATTCTCCTTGCTCTCTCATCATTGCGGTTGGGACTCTCCTTGCTATCTCTCCTGGTTGGAATCTGTTAAAGTTTTTGATGCATATGATTTTTTTTATTGCAGGTTTTACAATGCCTCATAGAACCAGACCCATGACTGCACTCTTGTTGTTCACTTCACTAAATGCAGTTTTGTGTGCAACAATTACACCTGTCTATGATTTCATTTGCTTTCTTCCTTATTGGGAAAGAAGGGTAAGTCTCTCTTTCCCCAATTTTTCTTCAATACAATATTAGGGTTTCCCATTCATCTTATTTATTTTTTTCCCAATCAATTCAAATTGAAAAATGGGAAAACCTTGAGTAATTTAGTATGAGCCATTCTATATAACTGATTTGTTAATTTCACTTATTTTTTGCCTAATCTAATTTACAGAGGGAAAGGCGTCGTCTGGAACGTGAAGCTTCTAACCATCAAAGGATCTAGAAGATGATAAAAAATGAATAATATCTACATTCATGATGTGTGAAGTAGTGATAGAGGGAATGTAGAGCTTATGCTGTGAGATATTTTTTTTTTGAAGTGTTGTATGAGTCAGAATAGTTATATCATGATGTATGAAGTAAAGGTTGTGATAGAAGAAACTTAGAGCGTTTTAATTTTCCTTTTTTCCTTGAATAATGTAAAACTTTTCTCTTGCACAATGGATTGAATATCAAATATGATTTGTTGGACCTACTTATAGGCATTTTATTCAAGTCTAATCAAATGATTTATGATAGAATATTTCGGTTCACTTCTTTACTAGTTTGTCTTTTGATTTACACAAATTAAGAGATGTCTGTTGATTTATGTGAGATATTAAATAAGACTAGAAGGGTTTCTTCGATTTGATTTAGTTTTTAGGGTTTAAGCGTTCATCTTTTCATTGTCGCTCATTTCCCTCTCTTCTAATCATGTGGGCTCTTCGTCGAACTTCGATTCACCTCAGCTTAAGGTAAACTCATTCTTGCATCATCACTATTTCCAGACTTTCATGGATTACTTGTAAGTTGCAACCGTAACTGTTGTCATAATTTTTCTTTACTTTTAGTCATCATTCTTCATAACCAGTTTCAGTACTTTTATTTTTATTTTTTAGCACCTGTATGAATTATTCACATTGTATCATTGTAACTAACTACTATTAACTCTAGTGTAGTGGTTTCTGATTGACTATTATGATTAATGCCTGCTTAATCTTAGTAAACCGCATTGTGTGCCTGATTTTAATTTGGTGCTAGTTGCTGACTTTTTTGTTACAAATGCAGGAGTTTTTGCTAATTGTTTATTATGCATTGTTCGTAGTAACCAAAAGCTTAATAATAATGTAGGTAGGAACTTCTCATGCTTCTTGTGTCAAATTAATGCCGGACACTTTGGTGTAATACGGGGATGTTGTTCTTGTTTCTCATCCAACGATACATGGTAGATTTCTGTCAAAGGGCCACACATTTTACCGCACAGGTGATGCTTTCCTGCAATTTACTGTGAGCAGGTGTGGATTTTTGTCACAAGCTGATGCTAGTAGCACTGAAGATGATGATGGTGATGGTGACAATGATGATGATCACGTGGAGGTTGAAGATCAGTTGACTGAGCTGGATGCAGATGGAGATAGCGTTGAGTCTGAAACATGCATGTTAGATTGTGTCGAGGATGGCGAGAAACCAGAATATGAGCTGGAGTTGTTGGATACCGAGAGTGTTCCAGCTGAGAAAAAATCACGGAGTGCAAAGAGTCAATCTGAACTATTCAAGGTTGTTGTAAACGTTTCTGGTTTATCCGTTGATTCTGCTCTGAACAAGTTGGTTGCAAGAGGTAAAGAATTAAGCAGGAAAGAGATTTTGTTGGCCTTTGTTAATCTTTGAAAGCGTAAAATGTATGGAAAGGCTTTGCTTGTAAATGAATCAAACTTATATTTGTATCCAATTTATACAATTTAACATTCAAAATATTTATGTTAAGATAGTAAACTTAGCGACAAAGAGATGAGTATGTTACAATAGATGAGTAATAGGTTTAGGAATACAATTGTTAGAGAAAATTATGCTTGTTTTTTCTGTTATAGAAAAGATAGTAGAGTAGAGTCCCATCTTACATAGTTTGAATATGTGTTGTTGAGAATGCATGTATATGAATCGTAAAGGACAATTAGTTTACCACAGAAAATGATATTTGAATTGTTAGTAGAGACAAACTAGGTCACCATTGTGTGAGATTTTGAAGTAAATGGTCTGTAATTTTAAACTTAATATGTTGTATATATCAGAGAAGTCGATAGCGCCGCTATCCCGAGAGAGCGGCACGGCCCGGAGGCTGGTCACGAAAGGAGAAGGAATAGCGGCACAGTTCAGCGTCTATAGCTACATAGTTAATTAAGGGAGAAAATCAACCGTTGATATTTCTACTATCCATGATTTGTTATGATTGTGCATATAATATCAACCAACAATATATTCATCAACAATTGATATTATATTACCCACTTTACTGTTTCAAGTGAGCAACTCACTCCAGAGGGTAATTAAACTATTGTTATTTATTAACATGCATTGGACCTATTCTACTTGCTTGGTGTACAAAGAGTCTAGGCTTGTTGCTAACGTGACTGTTTCCAACACTACCCCAAGCTGGAGAATAGCTATTTCCCATTCCAAGCTTGCATAATATTATTTCAAAATATGGACTACAATCCTTTGGTATGAATGTTTGCACGGTGGCCTTGTTGAGGTACATACCGGTACAAATCAAACCACAAATGAGCTATTCATTGATAAAATGTCGGTCCATCCCAGATTACGCGTTATGTTGAATTGCTTCTATACATTATGTTATCAGAGTTAGCCTCTGATGTGATTGATAATTGAATTTATTACATCGCCTATCATGCTTTCAGGGACCTCCATGCACCATACAAGATATTATCTTGTGTTTTGATTGCAGGTTGACCGCTAACCGTCAATATTTGGCACACAAGCTCCACTTTACTCTTCTTTCTGTTGTGTCATTGGACAAAACCGTACCGCCCCACCTCTGATGAGCTTTCATCCAAACTTCCTATTTCAGCATCCCACTTTTTTCTGGCGATTTTCCAGAGATCCAGTGTTTTTCCAGCCCTATATACTTGTTTGACGTCTTCAGGCCTGTTATGGTTATACAGTATTTCTAAAATAACTCTTTTCTCTACCACAGGCTTATAAAAACGCCAAACATCTGGCAAATGGGATTAGGGAGAGGATGAAAGCTGTTAACGTATTTCCCAACAGAGCTTTATCTGACCAATTTGCTGAAGTTGATCCATTTAGGAAAACTCCAGTTTCCAATTTGCTTGATTGAGGAAACTAGCTGATTTTGTCTTGTTCTTATGCTTTTCAAATGCAACTATTATCAGTTAGTTTGGTGCTAAGATCGGACTTTCCAAATTCAAATATTTTATGTTGTACTCGATACTATTTAAATAGGTTTTATGAATTCACGGGAGAGTAGATATTTTCTCCATTTCTTAGAAAAATTGTGAGGTTTTGTTATTTGATTTTGGGTGTATAATCTCTCCATTGTAGAAATGTATGCTTTTATACTCAAACTATGAATTTAGAGTTTTTCATTGAAACTTATATGATATATAAGATGGTGAAGCTTATTTGCTGCATCTCACAATATAGCTAAAAAGAGTTACACTATTTTTAAAAGGGGAGAATACATTGTGTTGTTTTTTCTTCTTTTTCTAAGCTGTTTTTATGAAGCTCTCACGATTGATAACTACAAGATTGTTAACTACAAGATGGGAGCAGGTCTGATTTGGAAAATAAAGAATTTGATCAAACAAGATTGAGAGATTTGGATGCGCTTGCAAGATTACGAGTTAATCACGGTGAAAGAAGTCTTCTTAGAATTTGTTATTAGAGTAAATCTTATCACCAGAATTTGATCCTTATGTGAATTTCTAGGAAATTGAGTATCTTACTTTTCCATTTGCGTTCTTACAATATACGGTGCCCATTTGAATTGAATTAACGGAGTAAAAACTAAACTTCATAGTTTTAACAAAATTAAGGTGTCATTATGATTTTGTCGAATTCAGATCTAAATATTGTTTTTTCAGTCTAGAAATAACCTGGATCATTTATTCTCTTAAATAAAAAATATAATATTAATCTTCTAACTCTTTAAAAATCAGAAATTAGTTGCTAAAAAGTTCATTAAAGGATAAAAAAAGATTAATGTGATCTCTTTTAATCAATTAAGATAATAATAATACTTATTTAAAATTTTAAATTAAAAGATCAAAATGAACGATGAAAGAGTTATACCAACATACAATTTGTGACTTTTCTTTGATAAAAATTAAAGGGTTGGCAGTGGGTCACATCACATACATTTTGGGTGCCGGGAAAGGAAGAAACATTGGTTCCACAATCACATTCAACACTCTTTCTGCAACCACATTCTACTAAAGGGGAAGTGTCACTTTCCATGAGTAAAGAACAATGTCCTAAGATCTAATTCAGCCGACAAATATCGATCCAGAAACTTACACAAACTTTGAAGTTGTGTGTGTGCGGAATTTCTAGTGATGGAGTTGGGCACCACTCACTCTCTCCACAAAAAGAGACAAAAACCACCTACCTACCTGAAGCTGCTTTTGTTTCCTTCCTTCTTTCTCACACAACAACAACATCTTAACATGTTCTTCCATCAAACCAATTTCATCACCTTAAATAAAACTCTTTTTTTTTCCCTTCCTATTTTGGTATTTTGTTATGTTACATGTTTACCAGTATAGTATTTCACTACTTTTTCTTTCTGTCTTTTTGACCACAAAGTTTCTTAACCGACAATATAGTTACTGTCTTTTTCTTTTACTTATACAAAAACATAAACTACCTTCACTAATACGAATTCCAAACTTGTTAAACTATTACTATTATTTAAGAAAAATGAAGAATCAAAAGTAATAGTATTAAGATTTACTTGATCTCGATGCAAGTGTCTCTGAAAACATGGCATCTTCATGGGAACATTTTGGTGAGATTGCAAATGTGGCTCAATTAACCGGCTTAGATGCTGTGAAGTTGATTGGAATGATTGTTAAAGCTGCGAATACAGCTCGTATGCATAAAAAGAATTGCAGACAGTTCGCGCAACATCTTAGATTAATTGGGAACTTGCTTGATCAGCTGAAGATCTCGGAGCTTAAGAAGTATCGCGAAACACGAGAGCCTCTAGAACAGCTAGAAGAAGCTTTGAGAAGATCTTATATTTTGGTCAATAGTTGTCAAGATCGCAGCTATCTTTATTTGTTGGCGATGGGATGGAACATTGTTTATCAATTCAGAAAGGCTCAGAATGAAATTGATCGATACTTGCGCCTTGTTCCTCTCATTACTCTAGTCGACAATGCTCGAGTCAAGGTAGCTATTTTTTTATATAGACTTTGATATACTATTGATTGAGATTTTCTTAGTATAATATCTTATTTCTATGGAATATTTAGGAGAGGTTAGAAGTTATTGAAAAGGATCAATGTGAGTACACATTTGATGATGATGAGCAAAAAGTGCAGACTGTATTTTTGAAACCGGAACCCGACAAAGAGGATACCGTAGTCCTGAAAAAAACTCTTTCATGTACGTACCCGAACTTTTCATTCACGGAAGCACTGAAACAAGAAAACCAAAAGCTCCAACTAGAGTTACAATGTTCACAAGCAAATATGGATATAAATCAATGCGAGTTCATTCAACGCTTATTAGATGTTACATCATTTGCTGCTTTTTCTCTTCCGGAGGAGTTATCACCTGAAAATAGTCACAACAAAGTAGAATACACAAACCAAAGTTATTTTGATGTCAACGGCAGCAAAGGGCATTCTTCTGATGAAAAACAGCATAAAAAATCAGTTACTCTTTCAGCATCAAGGTAGTTTATTTCCATCTTCTTCGAATTTCATGTGTTTTGAGTTTACTTAGGACAACTACTTGACCAAAAGATATAATTGTTATACAAATTGTTATCTTGCACATTTTTTGGTTGTTAAATCAGTATCATCTAAACTTAACTAGAGATATTAACCCTTTAATTCGGGTAAGATCTCAACGAGCCACAAAACTCTCCCTCGAAAGTTTTAACAGTTAGATTGGATTCAAACTCAATATCTTTAGTTAAGCTTATGAGACATGAATCGTCTCATCCAAGCACTCTTGGGTTTATCCTTGTACATTTGACCTTTCTTCTTCCATCTTTTTATTATTTATCATGCATTTATTCAAAGCTTTTACAATTTTAATCTTTTCGGATACAAACTTACATTGAACTAAATCCTTTGCTTCATATGTATGGTCTCAAATAGCTCCTCAGTTTCAGAAAAGAACTTGTTGTCAGCTGGAAGTTTATATCAGCAAGAAGATTGGCATACTGATCTACTTGCTTGTTGTTCTGAACCTTGTCTTTGTATGTATTTTTCTTGTTTCATTTGAGTTTTTTTAGTTATGTTAGCAATAAAAGAATATTATGTTTCTTAATTTTTCATCTTTTGTAATATATGTAGATCTTTTAATTTGAAGGTATAAAAACATTCTTCTTTCCATGTGGAACATTTTCGAAGATTGCGACAGTTGCAACCAACAGGCCTATATGTAAGTTACTTATAAATTGAAAATATTTTTGCATATTACAATATTCTTTAATTTTAATTCATTTGATATACGTGAAAATATCGAGGTTTCACGTTTTTAACTTCATTTTTATATGGTTTTAGCTGCTGCAGAAGTATGTAATGAATTTCTGGTTTATTCATTGATTTTATCATGTTGTTGCTACACTTGTTGTATAAGAAGGAAGCTTAGGAAGATGATGAATATTCCGGTAATGTTGTCATCTTTATATTTTTGTTAGTTATTTGAAAATTTGTTTTAGGTATCTCTAAATGTTTCATTACTCAATGATAGGGAGGTTATGTTGATGATTTTCTTTCTCATTTGATGTGTTGTTCTTGTGCCCTTGTTCAAGAATGGAGAGAAATAGAAGCCCGTGGGGTTTATGGTATGAATCAAATTTTCTTATGATGAATTCTTTAAACAATACCCTTAGAACATTTATTAGCATAACCATTTTTTAAAATTTTGCAGGTCATGAGAAGACCAACACAAGTCCACCAACCCCACAATACATGGAATCTTGAATATTAAATTAGAATGTAATTAGACTGTTTAGATTGTAAATATTATATCAAACATGGACAATTTAAAATTGTACTTGATTCTCACACAATTTAATATAGCTTACTGTTTTTCTATTCACAAGAATTGAGGATCACAAGCAATTTTTTTCCACAGAAGCTGAATATTTAAATTACAGAAAGAGCTGAAACACTAATAACGATACTATACAGAGACAATTCTTTGCTAAGATTGCCTGGTAATATTTCAATCTTCATCAGAAGCATTGCAACAACATTAAAGAGATGATCCTTCAGCAGAGAAAAGTGGGTGAATTTACAGGCACTTGTGCTAGAAATGTTATGCATCATGCATTTCAACACTATTGTTGGCCCCATAATTTGAATTCATGATTTTGAACTGTTAACAGAATGAAATACTATGTCAGAAGAAAGAATCCCCTTAAAAAGACATGAAAATACAAACATAAGTAATTAAAACATTTTGACCAATTGAATGATTTGAGAGAAGGAAATTAATAAAGCTTCTACCTTTTCAATAGCATGTGAAACACCGGACAAAAGTTGACTGTTTTCTTTAAGGAGTTGCAGTCGGTTGCGGAGCCTTTCATTATTTTCCTCTCCCTAACAAAACGATATGATCAGAGAAATAGAATACAATTGTTTAGAGTGCGAAAATGAAAATGACCACTATTTAAGGGCCTAAGCAAAATTTCAATTTTTTTCATAGTGTTATTTTTTTCTGGCCTAGCCAAATTTACTTTGAAGTTTGCTTCAACTTCAAGAGAACACCTTTTTGGCTCTCTATATATGCATTTGCTCAAAAAGCAGGCCCAGAAAACCCAATCAGCTTTAACGTGCTTGGCAGTATTAGGGCTATGGCAAAGTGAATAGTTGTTACTAGAGCCGACCTATCCATGGACAGAATTTTTTTCGCTATTCAAATTTGAGATTCATAACATTAATCTTCAATTGGAAAGAAGAGAAAACATCACACAGATGCACAACCATTAGGAGGAAAGAGAAATTTGTGCAGTCCTTTAAGGTGAGTTTGAGACAGGATTAACAAAGAAAAAAAGGAATATGAAAATGTGCTATCAAAAAACTCAAATCGTGTTAAGTGCTTCAACCTATGAGTAAGTATTTGTTTTAGTTTACTTTTAACATAATTTGATGCTAGTACATTCAAATAGTATACCTACCAATTGCACCATACACTTTAAATGTTGGATTTCGTTCTTCTTTGCCAAAGACAAACTTTCAACAGTATCCACTATGTTACTCCTGCAATTGTATAAATGTTTCTCTACTGAATTCAAAATAAATCAATATATTGTAATAGGAATAACCAGTAAATAATATGAAGGGAAGCAAATTCAATAAAGATCTAGAGTTAAAAATAACCATCATTGGTCACCATTCTCCAAGTATAAGTACGAAGGAAAACCTCCATGAAATAAAAAACGAGAGAACTTCACGAGGTTTAAGAGTTAAGCTTCACTAATTGTTGCTTTAAAGACTAGAATATATATATAGTCGGATACTTCAAATACAAAATCAAATAATGCCTATACCTCTTTGAAAACAAAGGATTCAGTTCTTGTTCTTCCACAATTTCCTCTACAGCATCAAGAACGGCTCCCATCTACATGAAAGATGAACTTGAAATACAACACTAACTAGAATACAGAAGAATGGCGCAGCCTGTAATATTTCAAATTTTCACACCCAATGCAGATTATCGAAGCAAAAAAAGGAAATAAAGAAACTACAGACAAATTTCCAAATCAAGTCCCAACCATTGATATACCGGTTAATCTTGTAAGCAAATACCATTTTCCATCATTTATCGAACTTGAGAAAGAAGAGGAAGGGGGCTTGGCTGAAAAAAATGTTAAGAATGGCCTTTTACTTTACCCAATCTAAAGTTTCTTGCTGCCTGCCAACAACTTTTCGTAACTGTCCCCCTCCCTCCCAGGCTCCCTCTCTGACCTCTCCTATGTCATTATTGTCATCTAAAAGAGTTCAACCATTTCCCTTGAGTTAAAGGTTGTAACTACTGTGAATGGTATAATAAAATCCTTATTGCTGCACAAGATTTAAAAAAAGAATGTCTCCATCTAGAGCCAAAACTTAATGTGTATACTGTTAAAACTCAAATAGAGTAAGGTTTGATTTCTAAACCAACTAATGAAGTTCTAAAGCTCCCTTAAAATGTATTTGAATGCAAGCCTAAATCAATTGTAGTATCTGAATGTTGAGAAAACAAACACAATACTCTACAAATATTTTTTTTTAAATGTTAGAATAAAACAACAGCAACAATAGTTAAGTTATACCTTTATTTTGAGACATATTGCTTCAAATTCTTCCTGTAAAAATTGACATAGCATTTAGAATTTAGAAAATTTAAGTGTTAACGAATTATTACATGCTAAAATGCTTGCAGTGTATATAGTTACAGGCATTTAATCATGCAAGTTACAGGAAACAAACAAATAAATTAGTGTTTCTTGAGTCCTGAAAGATCTCTTTGGATGGATGTGTGTGCGTGAGAAAGAGAGCAAAATTTCCCCTACGACAGATCAATAACCTTTTATGTCAGAAGAAAAAAAAACATTAAACAATCATTACATAACTATTCTTAAAAAGAAATCTTATTTCAGTTTAAGTTTAGAAAGAACCCAAAGAATTATATATATCAAAGTCCAGCATATAGGCTCCAAAGTTCTTAAGACTATGTTTGGATATTATAAAATGAATGGAGCAGAATGAAACGGAGGGGAACGAAGCTGAATGGAGCGGAGTAGAATGAAGATTCCATTCCACCGTTTGGAAATTTTAGGACAGAACAAGGCAAGTTCTTCATTCCGCCCAAATCTAAGGGGAAAAAATATGGTGGTAAGTGATGGAATGGAATGAAATCCATACCGCTCCATTTCGCTCCACTCCATCCGATTTTAAATGATCCAAACAAGGAAATACCACTCTATTCCATAATACACCGCTCTGCTCCATCCGAGTCCATCAATCCAAACAAAGCCAAGAGAATAATCTGTATATGGAGAAGATATTCTTATGAACTTCCCATAAAGACAAAGGTCAGTGTTAAGTATTTGAAATAGTGAACTTAAGCATCAGACTTTAAGCTTAAGAAATGGGCACAATTAAAAGGAAAAACATCAAAAGTAATATTTAGACAACATCCTGAACTATTGCAGGGAAACCAATTGAGCGTTTTATATTAGAGGTGGAATTGATTCTATATCTGACATCACCAAAATAACAGTTGTTATAACAAACATACCTGAAAGGCTTCATGAAAAGAATCCATGGCCTGAAAGATTTGATACATAAAAGGAAATCAAATAATAAGTAGGTGTATCAATCCCAATTATTAAGAGACATGATTGTGCATTGTCATGTTATAAATATGAAAATCAGTATAGGCTGAGAGGACTTTTTCTCAAACACTTTAAAAATCATTCTCAACTTCATATTGCCTTAATTCTTTCAAGTTAAATTTCATCAAAATGAAAGATGGGCTTGAGCACCGTCCATTCTTACGCCCAAAAGGATTTTGTATGAAGTACATTGTACACGATAGGTATAAAACCATTCTTATGTTTTTACCCAACAACATAAACTTTTGAGATAATTGGTTTAGGACTAGTAGTTCCTGTAAAAGAAAGATGCTTGATGCTAACAAATGTTTTTAAAAAGTTTCAATTTCTTACCTAAATAGATGTTTCTTAGTAAAACCGCTAATCTATTGCTTATTTGATTTAATTCACATGTAAAGTGAAAAATGAGCACCTACACCTAGGTCAATGTCATTGCCATATACATTTTTATTTTTAGCTAAAGCTCTATGTAACATTGAGAAATATATTTCTCATCTGAAAGCAGAGATATCAAGAGATCATACCTGAAGATATAGGCGATGAAGATAATCTTTTTCAGCATTGGTAAAAGTTGGAAATTCTTTAACAAATTCCTTTAAAAAACAATGCAGGAACACCCATCAAAATACATCCGATTAAATGAGAACGTGCCTATCATATAAAATGCAAAATATAAACATATTTACAAACTTGTAGTTGAGAAGTCAAACTAAATCCATGAGATAATACCAGTTTTTCTATCTCAAATATGGTGAAAGACGATAAAACCATTACTCTCTTCTATAAAACCAGAGTAAAAGCACCATGGCTACCTTCTCAGTGCATAAGAATCAAATCTGAACTACTAGTTACATAAATCAGAAATTCATCAATTTCAAGTGATTTAAAGAATACAAAGTATCTTATAATTTCTACTTCTATCTACTACATTAAAAACATATAATTAGAATGATAATCTAAAATTCAGTTTAAGCTCAATTTTTCTATTGACAACAAAATGATAAAAGAAGAAAGAGTGACGGAATATACACCTCTTTTGAAGATGAAGTTAGCATAGAACGAAGAGCAACCTTGAAGGACTTATTCAAAGTGGAGAACCTGGATCCAATTGCTGTAGTAGTTGTTGATGATGCATTGGAATCAGGTACTGGACTTTCCTCCATTCTTAAAAAAAAAAAAACACTTTTTGTAGTGGTTAATTCAATATTCTCACTAATAGATGATTTTACCCTAATTCATACATGCAGTAATGTAGCAACCTGAAAGATATATCATGGTAAAATTCAGAAACCCTAGTGTTTTTGAATTATGGTAGCAAATACCTAATTAAAGAGTTAGATTTTAACACGATAATAACAATAATTGTACATTTCAACTCCATGGTAAAACAAAAGCAGCAAGCTACAATGACGAAGTGTGAATGTGATATCTGTTTTCAATCGCGTCTCTTTGGAGAGGGGAAGGAAAATCGAAAAAGGTTATAAAATGAAAACCTGTAATTTCTCACTGTTTCTGGGTGCGGATAACCGACTCCGTTAGCTTTTTCCGGCGAGTTGAGGTCAGTGCGATTCAAATTTGTTTCCGATGCAACTGTAAGCG